TTACGTAAGTAAAAGCGGCAATTACCACCTTAGCACCGACTGGAGTTAACCACATTATATTCTAGTGGATAGTTTCATCTATATTAACCCATGCATTTAAGCTGATCATATATTTTGTATGTAAAACCTTAATCTGCAAACCAGTAAACTATAGCTGTTCAATATTTCCTGAGTACAAAATGTTAAAGTAGTATAAAAATATATTCACAAATAGTACAAGAATCTCTAGTCTCCATTTAATGATTTATGTTATTTCCCACCACTGCACACGTGTGCACTGATGAGAGAAAATTAATAGTCGCTAACAGTTTGACAATCTGGTTTGGGGAGAGCAAAGGGCTACAGAACAACTACACCAATGACTGCACCTCAGGAGACCCATTGTCAAACTCCTGAAGTTCACTGACGACACAACAGTCATCGGCCTAATCTGGGACGGTGACGAGTCAGCCTACAGATGGGAGGTCGATCAGCTGGCTCTCTGTTGCGGCCAGAACAACTTAGAGTTTAAGACGCTCAAAACTGTGGAGCTGATCGTGGACTTCAGGAGCAGCCCCCCCCACTCTGCCCCCGATCACCATACTCAACAGCTGTGTGTCTGCTGTGGAATCCTTCAGGTTTCTAGGATCCACTAAATCCCAGGACCAAAAGTGGGAGCCCAACTGGGATACCATCATCAAAAAGGCCCAGCAGAGGATGTTCTTCCAGTGCCAGCTCAGGAAGCTCAACCTGCCTCAGGACCTGCTGATCGACTTTTACACAGCTATCATCCAGTCTGTTCTCTGCACCTCCATCACTGTCTGGTTTGGTTCTGCCAGCAAAAAGGACAGACTACAACGGACAGTCAGGACTGCAGAAAAAAAAAAAAATCGGTGCCAACCTTCCCTCCATTCAGGTATTATACATTTCCAGAGTCAGGAAACAGGCAGGAAACATCACTGCAGATCCATCTCACCCCGGACACAACCTGTTCCAGCCTCTCCCCTCTGGTGGGCACTACAGAGCACTGTACGCCAAAACCAACAGACTCAAGAACAGTTTCTTCCCACAAGCCATCACATGAACAGCTGACTCACCGTGTCAGGAACAATTCCTGTGCAATAACCCAGTAACTCTGTCTCTAATCAGCCACCTGTTTAATGGCTACCACTTATCATCATTCTCTATTTCAGAGCTTTTCATACTGCTCAAACTGTTCATATTGTAAATTGTATATACTGTATACCAAATCCACCTACCTCAAGTACATAACACCTGCACATAATACTTATGTATTCCAGCATCCTTTGCACTGTGCTCCATCACACTGTGTACATGTGTACATATTTGCTTGTATGTGTATGTGCACCTGTATATCACATCCACCTCTGACATGTACATAATAATAATGGTAATAATAATTTATTCCTGCATCCTTTGCACTCTGCACTATTGCACTTGTCTCAATCTATTTTGTTTTGTTTCTAGTGTGTATATGTGTTCTCTATACTGTAGCCTGTGTTTGATTTTATTACTGTATTATTGTGTAATCATATTATTGTATGTAAGTATGCACATCGTGAGCATTGTACTATCCAGAGTCAAATTCCTCGTATGTATACACATACCTGGCAATAAAGCTGATTCTGATTCTGAAGTAATAGTTAGACAGTAGCTCCATCTACTGGGTGTCCTGTGTCATGTCAGATATTAGGTTGCTGTATGAACTAACATTTCCTGATTAGTCCCAGACAGATAATACGTTACTAGTTACTTATTACCAAAGTCTCTATAAAACGTCTCTGTTATTACTCCTTAAAAAAGTAATAATATTACATTACTTATAACTGGGTGATAAAAGTATCTAGTGTAAGCTATTTAGTTTTTTGTATTTTGTTACTTGTTACATTACTTTATTAGACTACTTTCACTGCCACTCCCCATTCCCCAAACAAAGCAGTCTCTAACTAATATCATATTCATAACAGCAGCAAGAACTATGTTTAACTAACACATAATGTTTCTTGACGCCACCCTGAAATAAAAAAATAACGGACAAACTTGCTCCAATCCCAACTTTTGAACTACTGTTTTTCTTCATATGCATTTATAAGGGTAGAACCCTATTCAGTGCCTTTACAAAATGCAAAATTTTGCTTAACGCCACTCTCACACAGGTGTGTGTGTGAGTGAGTGCAGGGAGAAGTTGAGGCAGGTGCAAAGCAGGTACATTTACAATTCATAAAAATAATGCCCATGGAGATAAAAACTATTATTTCACAGGGCGGTATAATGTAAATAATTAAGATGGTATTTTTGTGTTGGGGGTTAGGGGGTCATCCTACCACCACCTTCTAATGGCAGGAAAACACTTAATATGATCTCAGAATTATTACAGATAGGACTGTTCATGTTTGCCTTTTGTGTCTTAATTTACTTCATTATACATTTGTAGAAATTAACATAAAAAAGGCAACATCACCACCTCCCTTCTGTATAATTACAAGCCTTTCATTTGTACACAATCCAAAAGAATAATCTCCTCATTAGCTTAAATTTAAGATAATGAGGCGATATAAAGGACTAGTCTGCATCCCTAATTTCCTTTAACATTAACCTCAGCTCCTCCTTGGTCAACACCGTCCTTTCTTTTTATTGCAATTTAATTATGAAGATGTACAGCAGGCCAACAGGACAGAGCTGTAACCTGACAATTTAATGCTAATCTTATCCTCCGCTAACTTTCACCTTCATTTTCTGCCGCTCTCTCTCTCACACACACATTCGCTCATCCTCTGAAGAATGAGGAGAGGCCTTCAGTGTTACCGTGCTGAAAATCATTAATTATCGTGTGAAATTTTATAAGCGACGTATTCATTAAGCAGCGACAGAAGCCTTCAAACACATTGCTATCGACTAGTTTGATAACTGTGTACAACCCGAAAGAGACACAACTGGAATAACAGTACAGCTGCATGTTGGTCTCTGTAGACTTGACTAGACAAAGAAAGAACTACAACACCAAAAAACATTTTAAAGCCTGTGGGATCATTTCAATGAGCATTAGAGGTAGCATGTTGGGAAATTGAGACCTGATTAACACAGACCTAGAACACAACCTTCAGCGAATTTAAGACTTTTTAAGGGCTTAAATTTTGATTTTGAAATTTAAGACTTTTTAAGGCCCTGCAGAAACCCTGAACTGTAACCTTAGCTACTGTTTTGGAAATAATCCCTTACACTACTGCCCAACACTGGTCCCAGAGAGGCTATTGTGAATACCTTAAAATTGAACTCATGTGATGTTGTTTTCGACAAAGAAGTCCCAGTTTACCAGGTTCTATCAACCAAAACAAAACTAGGCTACTTTCAGGGCTGTGTTAGGCTATAGCCTAAAGCTTATCAGGCCCACACATCAGGAGGCAGACCATGTAAACATATGTGTAAGACTTACTTGAAAGACTGTCAGAGTTTATGTTTCGTGAGAAGACCTAGAAGACCTATTACTCCGGGGCCTGGCCAGGTGATATCCCGCCAATTCGCGAATGAGGTGACGTGACGTGCCAATTACCGTAAGTGACAGCAGACTAGAGTAGTGAGTCACGTCAGTTACCGTACAATAAAGCAGTGAGGCACTTTGGTATAGATAGGGCTATTCAGTTTAATCTATGGCTTTTCTTGCCGATGCCATATTGAATATGAAGTCAAAAGGAAATAGGAAAACAAAAATAGCACAGTGTAACCTGCTGGCCCCAATACCTCCCGTGTTGCTTCTGTTTGATGTAGCCTAAATATCTTTTCAGAAATTGCATATTTGAGTAGTTTCTTGAGTCAGAAAATTAGTTAACAGAATGGCTTGTCTATACTCTACTCCTCCTGTGCCCCTCAAAGCAGCTGGTTTTGGTCTAGGCCATACGAAAAAATACAAGTCACTGTACATTCAACATTGAGTAGACTAGTCTATAAGTTATAGCCCACACAAAATCTATAGGCTTTTGTTCCAGTCTGCAATTCAGACACGTTATACTCAGTAAGGCATATGTGATGCCAAAACATGAAGCTACTACGCTACTCTGCCTTGCCATTTTTGAGTGTTACACTGCCATCTTTTGCACATAAACGGCATTGCAATTTAGGCGATATTTTTTTGTCTTGTCACCTCCCCAGCTGCTGTTGAATCTATGGATTACAACACATTTGTGTAAAGTAAAATAATGATTTAGACTTAATGAAGATACACAGGGCCATATGGTTCCTGTCCTAGGATGTGATGTAGATATTATGACACCAGGCTATAGCAGGAGATTAAAGAAGACTTCTATGTAGTAAAAACCTTTATTAATGACAGTAGATGAAAGTATCCAGCAGGCTTATTTCACAAGAAAAAAAAAACATTATAGACAAGTAAACAAAATGAATTACCTACATTTTCTGTATCAGATTTTGTCCCACTTATTATCCTTATTGATCCCCCAGGTTGGGACCCACTGGCCTATAGGAACAAGTGAGCATGCAGTTCATTCTCTCCATTACTGTCTCAATCTGTCTATATTGTTTTTGATTATAGTGTGTAGCCTACATATATGTGTGTTCTGTATACTGTAGCCTGTGTCTGATTATATTATTGTATAACTAAGCACATCATGAGTAATGTACAACCCTGAGTAAATTCCTCCTGTGTGTTCACATACCTAACAATAAAGTTGATTCTGATTCTGATTCTATGTCCCTGTGCCATTTAATAACACGTTTGCAACCTGTTATGGCTATCAATATGCTTATGCACTGCCTGTGTGCTTGTAAATAGAAATGTTTATTTCATTTTTTCATACTGTCATTAAAAATAAAGAATAATAATCTCTTGGCACGACATCTGGTAGCTGCGTCAAAATGAGGTAGTTTACGGTAAAACGGCGCTCATTACCATGTGATTTCACCGATGTTTGTAAACATGCGTCAGCCACATGTGATTCTGGCGATGAGGAAAGACTCTCCAGCCGCTCGACCAACCAGCAGCTGGGGGAGTGTCAGGGGCGGGGTTCCCGTGTTGCGCTATGGAAAATCGTTAGGGAGATACACTGTGATAAACGTGCGCTCCCAGATTGATAACACCAACAATAAGGCTGAAACAGGAACATGGTGGAGTGACCATTAACCGAGGACCCGGTGTGAGTGGCGCCGGCCGGGAAATGGATGAGGCTCCTTCGGCACGGGAGAGAAACAGGCTTGGGATAAACACGTAAGTTGTTTATATTATTATAGGGCGAGAGCGACATAATGCTGCGTATGTTGCGTAGTGAATACCACTATGTAATTCATAACCACTCGAGTGCTGGGTGAAAAGGTAAGAATGAAAGCCCAGAGGCACTGTTGTAAAAGTGTAAAGAATAATTAAAGAAAGAAAACAAAAGTTCTGTATTTGCAGGCAAAATGGGCGCGGGGGCTTCTTACTGAAAGAGGTTCTAAACACTTTTTATAATCCTGAGTGTTTCATCATCGGCATGACAACAGGTAAATTAAACTGCGTCAGCGAGAAGGACCGAGAAACCACACGAAATCCATTCGAAATATCCGCAGCTATGGTGGAACACGCAGCGACGGCATGACAGCGTAGTTGTGCTCGGTCTGAAACTTAAGTTGAGCCTGAATTTAATGTTAAATGAAGATGTAAACACAGCGTGGAATCGGCGGAGATGGCGTGTGAGGGAAGAGCTCGGAATAGGATGCTGCGCAAGAGATGGATAGTGCGTAATCCTGTTGTTGGAGAGGACGTTATTACGCAGTTCATATTGGCACGATCATTTAACACCTCATGGCCTTTTGTCATAGTGTTATTAGAAATAACCGACACTTTTTATGTAAAGCAGGATTCAGATACTTCCCAAACATGGTCATAAAATGACGCATGGAGGGTTGTTCTATTGTTTGTGTAATTTCAGAGCAAATAAAAACTTTAGATTCAAGTCAGCAACACAGTCGTGACGCAGCTTGTTTTGTCTTTCAAGTGTCAAACAACATTTGCTGCGTCACATACATCCTAGGAGGTCCTTAATAGTAATCTGGCTTTTTAGTGCGCACTTGATATGATGAAAACAAGCTCTTTTTTTCCAAACATAGGGGGTGCTATTGAGTAACATAATTCTTGGTCTGAATCATCTGCTGTAAAGGGATGTTGACATACAGGTATTCCTCATTTACCCCTAAACACTCACTGCTTTTATTTTTTTACTTTAAGGTCTATTTTACCCCATTTTTTAAAGATGACATAGACAAATATTTTGAATTCCTTGAGCTTCCTATAACTGTTATTGCTGTGAGAGAGCCATTTAAGATTTGTCTCCCTTTATTAGAACTTGTAATGTACACCTGCCAGAGCACAATAGGACGCTGAAATGCCTGATGTGATGACACTGTTGCTGTTGACATCACTGTTGCTGGCCTCTCATACCTTCCTAATTACGCTAGTGAAGAAGGGTGTGTTGCGTACTGCTGCTTACCTGCCAGAGGAACGGGAGATAAAGCGCTTCCTCATCTCTCAGAGCTTCTGAAGTGAAATGAGACACACAGGGGGAGCAAACGGCTTCCTGTCAAGCGGATTTGTTCGGTCAGTGGGTGAATCAGCTGTAGACCTCATGAGTTGCTAAACCACTGGCAAGAAAATGGAAAGAGAAAGAGACAGAGAGACAGAGAAAGAAGGCGAGGGGAGGGAAGGGGAGCTTTAGAACTTTAATTATGTGTACTGAATAGAAACTTGACTCCCGAGGGAATGTCACTACAGTAGTTTTGAAACAAACAGGTGAAGGTCATGGGAGGAAGTACAAGCTGATTACTGTGTCAGGGGTTGCCTCACAGCACAACATCCTTTGTACTTATTTGCATTATTCTGAAAATATGAAAACCTCAAATCTACTAATCAGAACTTTTTTACTAACTGTGGGTATCATCCTCTGCAGTTGTAATGTTTACCATGTCTTCTGAGGCTGACCAGTAGAACAAGTGACCCACTTTCACAGACAAGGAAACGTGACCTCAATAGTTATTTTGCTATCCTCACAGGGAGGGGCACTGCCTCTAAAGTCAAATAAACAGAAGAGCCCAGTACAAGTGGGCGCAGTGCGATGCGTTCAACCTAGAATACTAGCAATCTCACAATAATGGTACCAAAAAAAAAGTCCCTGCTTTTTCAGATGGAGCAAATGCAATTCAGCAGATGCTGTTGGGCCAAAACTAGATGCAGCAAACAAACATTTAAAGACTCCTGAGCAGAGGCAGTGTGATGGATGTGTTTACAGCAGGGGTCCAGCATCACCTGTAGCCCACAGATCATTTCAGGGAAAATGGTGAGCGACCCACTGCCTTTTAAAACAGATCCCTCCTACACACAGATTATAGAATATGAGGTGGCAAACAGCCAAGAGATGACGGTGCTAAAATTAAACTCGGAGCACTGCTGGCCTCGCTAGATGATGATGTATTTATAGATTTAAGTGTGAGGCAGCATTCATTCGCAGGTATCATTAGCAGCTACACACCTAACATGTTGCAAAAGGGGCAAAAAAAAGACCAGAAGGTACCTCTCCTTTCTGACGTCATCACTGGCCTTGATTTTCGTGGACAGGTACGGATTAACGTATTTCTTTATGATATACAGTGCACTGAAGGGCGAAATAGTGAGATGAGTTGTCCAAAATGACTTCTAATGAATGGGAAACACCAGCCAGGTTTTCTCTCTCTTCTTGGAAATCTAATCTGCTTCACAAAGACACCCTACAGGCACATTTTAAATGTTTATGTAAGCTTTTATCTCTGGTTATTTAACTCATAAAGCCACTCCTGTTTTCAGCAAGACTTCTGATATTTCCCAACAGGCAGAGTGGCAGCCAGAAGAGGGTGACAAAGTGTAAATCAACTCTTCCATCTCTGGCCTCTCTATTTCCGCAGCAGATAGAACAAACAAAGTGTCAGGCACATCTGAACCTGTTAAGACTCTCACATCTCCAAACATTTCACAATTTGTTGCTCTGAAGAGAAGATGATGCAACGTAGAAGGAGATATCTAAGCTATTATTCTACGTAAACACAATGGACTTACAGGCTACATCAGTAGGAAAGTCTGTGCCACCTTTGGCTTTAATTGGCCCAGAAAAGTATCATGTGATTTCCTTATAAGTCCACTGGTTTGATGATAACACATTAATAACATCTTAAAAAACACATTAGTTCAACTGTTATTTTGAGTTTTCCAGATGATCACAACTCGCACATTTACACATATCTCATCAAATTATTCATATATATATATAGTAACAATATTAACAATATTATGAGAATTTTGAGCCAAGACATTCGGTAGTTTTCCCTAATTGTGCAATGTGAGGAGGTTTAAAAACACATCACCTCAATGAGTTTGCCCCTCTCACTCCTGATAAATTAGGACCTCTAATCTGTAAGAGGATTAACCACCTACCCTATTTCCACGTGCACACATGCACACAACCCCACCCTCCACTGTTACGCACACACACTGTCACACACGTAAAAGCATTTTATGTCACCTACTTCAATATGACCCAACTCAGTGGCTCCCCCTGTGACACAGTTTGGTCTCTTACAGTCTGTGCTGCCTGATGCACAGAGGGATGTTTTTATCTCATTCCTGTAAACCAGATTGATGTGTTATTTTATGACTCTCCTAAATCACATACATTTGATCAATTTGTTTCTGATTGAAGAATTATTCATTATCGACTTTGTAGAATTTTATTTAACTTTTTTGTACTATATATTCCTGCAATTTTTTGCTAAAGATGGACAGTGCATACAGTTTGATATAGTAGCTTTAAATTAAACCAACAGTTGCTTGATTAAGTTTTGTTTTTACTTTAAAATGGGCTGGTGCGCCTTTAACAGGCAGTAGATGGTCAGGTGACTTGGCAGAATAAATGCTTCGATGCAGAAAGCAGCCTCTGTGCACACAATAGTCAGCGAACAGAGCTTGTAGTAAAAAGAACAAGTGAGTAAGAGAGAGGTAGATACAGAGTTCACAAATAGCAGTGTTACATGGGAGGAGTCAGAATAGCAAAAACACGGATAGAAGGAAAGCAGTGTTGCAGCATTCACAGTCTGAGTTATTCTCGAAGCTGACACGGTGTTCATGTAAATACTATGAGTGTTTTTCGAAACTGATGATATATTAATCTTTTTTCAGTGTCAAAAATGTCTGTAAAACAATGATGGCAATCACATATGCCATAATTTGATTATTAGTGGTGGAAATATAACCAATCTGTTCAACTGCTGTTGTTTTAGAAACCAAGACACTAAACTAGCAGTGAAGAGGATTAAGGAGTGACAGACAGGGAAATTGTCCCCGAAAGACACATGAAGGTTTTGGATTAGTTGCTACGTCACCTTTTCCCATCAACAGGACAACAGCGTCTGAGACACTGACAAAGCAGATAATGCCAGTCTTTTAATGCCAGACCTACAAATACAATCCAGTGAGTTTTCCACATTAATTGTCTTGGTATCTGCTATCATTTCAAACGAAAACAGGAATGCTAATAGAGAACGTCTCGAATGAGCTCTCTATACTGTACTGCATGCCTCATAGGGATGGACAACAGGGCTTCATACTAATGAATCCTTACCTTTTTCAGGATCTGGCTTTTTCATCTTGCACCACTATAAACCCCACTTGGACCAGGAGCAGGACTGGATGCCTGAGGCAGACCCAGGAGAGGAAACAGTATCCTATTGTGCATTACAAAGAAGTCTACAGGGAGCTCCGGAGATCTATTTTTCCCCAGTATGATTCATAGACAGTTTTTGTTGTTGTTCATTTCTAGTGCCAGTCTGTTGACGTGTCCGTTCTTACACTGAGATCTTGGTCATCTGATGCACTTCTAATGCAAGAGATTGACCTGCTGTGTCATTCTTAGGGGAGCTGACCGTGACTCGGTGGTTCTTCTCATTGGTCTCTTCCTGAATCTCCCCGAGTTTCTGGTTCGTTTTCTGTCTCTCTGTTTTAAAGGATAACAGTATCAGCTCTAATATGGGCCTTTGGAAATATCTCAAACGTATCAATTTATAGACTAAAAATATGCTCTGTTTGTAGCACATAATAGTTTTTGTAGTCAGTAAAATGTAGTAGTTTGTGCAAATAAATCCCTTCTCAGTGTGTGTGATAAAACAGTTGGGTATTCGGTCTCCCATTAAATAACCAAAAATTGAGATGATGTTCATCAAACATTCTTTTATGGAAATTGAACACCACGCCTAAGCTTGGTAGTGTTTCAACACAGTACTGTAACTGCAGAGGTTTACATAGGCAAGAAAAGGTTTATAGTGTGTGCCTCAGAAATGTAGTTCTCCCTATCAAATAGCCATGAGAAGGGCAGATCTGTAACTGAAAGAGGAATTTGTTTTCCTTCTTAATCGCAGCTAAAACAAAAGCAAATAGGGTATTTAACTAACTGCCTGCGTGGCATTGTTTTCTGTCTTTGTCCATTCTTCCCGGGTAATATTAATACCACACCTTGTCTCATGTCCATGTTTCTTTATATTCATTGAAATGTGCTTTGTCTAGATGATGGATCTGTAAGGACAGTATCCACTAAAATATGTGCTATAATAATATAAAAGCAAAGCAATGAGTCTGTTAAGCTGTCTGGCAAGAAACTTTGTCTAATGGAAAACTAATATTTCATTGTATTCCTTCACACAAATCCAATGTACTGAAAGAGTGAGCCAATTTTATGGATAGCCTTAGAATAATTTAGTTGGTAAAATACATGCAAGAGAGTCAGATGTCGGGTTCACCCACATCATGCAAATCAATCATTAAAGAAAATGTTAAAAAGTGATGATAGTAATTGTTTTTTTTTATTGCAGAAGGGGCATGGCTTCCTAATGTGTTTTTTCTTCAAAGCATCCTCCCCAGGAAACTGGTTTCAGATGGTGTCTTAGAGTATAAAATCCTGTCTAGCACCATTTGAAATCGGTGTTCTTGAGCGGGAACAGACTTCAGGAATGATAACAGTGACAACCTCATTCACCAAGTTGCTAGGGAGTTTGTGATTGCAGTTTGATGGTATTCTTTACATTCACGTTTTTACAAACTAGTCCATGTTTGTTATACATTCAGTTAAATGATCAGTTTAGGATTATTTAAAAACATAATATCCACTTGTCAAATATGTGTCCATTGGTTCTCTGGATCTGCTCTTTAGTAAATCAGTTTACACTCCAGTGATCAGAAGAAAAGGAGGCATTGGATAAGTGCAGTGAAACTGACCCCCCTCTCACCAAGGCTGACCGTTTTCCTCTGGTGTTTAGAGTTTCCATCATGTCTAGCACCATTTGAAATCGGTTACAATGTGGAGAGACTGTCAACAAAGCTTTGGCTTCAGCAGTTGTGTGATGAATTTCCTTAAAGTACCAGAAGATGGCAGCATCGAGCTGCCATCCATGCTACCGCCCAAGGCTACCAAGTTTTTTAGAATCATTGAAGCAGTAAGTGTTTTACTGGGTGACCACCAAGACCAACAAAACTTTTATGAATTCAGTTTCTTCTTCAGCCATTTTTCCATCATGCAGCCGTGCTGTGTGCAAGTTCCAGCTACAGTAATTTTGTCCTGTGATTTTCTTCCAGGGAAAGATGATAAAGAAAGAGATCCTAGTTAAGAGGTTGTGTATCTGCCTAGTGCAGAATTGTCATTTAGCTCTGTACTGTATTTCCATTAATAAAGTAAAACTGTTTTTCCTTCAAAGTTGTACAGTCTCATTTTTTTGGCTTGGCCCTGATGCTGTTATTTTTATATTTGTGTAGAAACATAACAAATAGTTGTAGTAGTTTTTGTGGTTAATATAATTAATGTTACAGTTCAGTATGTTTTTCATTCTTTAATTCTCACTTCTGTTCGGATTTAAGGAACAGATACTGAAGATTGATGCCAACTATCATAGATTGTGTTGAATCATTTCTAATTATAACTTCTCTGACCCAGCTCACACAGGCAATGATTTTTGCACTTTAAGTTTAATTTAATTATAGCATGAAATCTTTTAATACATTCACATCTGAAGTTCTCTAGTCTCCATTGCATGGAGACTAGAGAATTGTCAACTGTCACCTCTGTTACCCTCCAATGCAGTCTTTTTAAATAAAAGAGTGGACATTCTTAATTCAAATTCATGAATGATTAACCCACACTGTTAAGGTTAACAGAAAATGTGATTATGAATCTACACTGAGTTGCCAGTTTGTTTGTAGCCTAACACGTAATGCAGCCTAATAAATCCTACCTTCATGAAGGCTATAATGTTCCTGTATTTGTGAAAGTGTTTTAGAGAGGTGTTTATTCAACTGTATGCTGATTGTTGAGGCTGCATTGCATGTTCCCATTTTTTTGTCCAACCCATTTATATCAATTAGGGTAGTCTAAATAACAGAAATACCATCTCCGAGTGACAAAGTATGTATTTGAAGATAAACATAGACATATGTGTAAACCGTACCAGCCAAGCCCAGTTTCAGTTGCTATTCTGAGCAGTTTGCTGCTCTACTGTTTGAGCTATGAATTACAGATCACTTTTAGCATCTTTAACACTGTTGAACCTTCCAGGAACTGACATTTTCACTTACAAGAGAGTAACAGTTTACTGCCGAGCAGTGTCGTCCACCACAGCTTTCTAATGAATCCCCACTACCTGCTGACCTTCTGAAACAGGATGATAAGTGTTGGGGGGCAAAGTCAAAGCTAAATTGAATAGGCTTAAAATACTGAATGGCTAGCCTTGAAAGGGGTAGAAAGCTCCACCCCCAGTATGATCTTATTTTTATCTCTGGTGTCTGCAAGAAACCATCCTAGCGATTGGGTAAGGATATATTCATAGCAAAGTGTGTTGCTATAGCCACAGCAAAACAAGAACATACCCGTTTGTCGACCAATTCAATGTTTTCAGTTTTGAACAAATGTGAGTCATAAGGAGTGTCTCAGTTAAAGATGACATCATCACCAGCATCATACATTTTCAGTCCAGCCAGACCTGCTCTGACTTGCATGTCTGCATCACTGTGATGTGTAAGTGTGACTGATATCTTCGGTTGCATAAAGTTACATCCAGAATTTTCCCTTCACCTCAGCAGATGTAGGAGAAGGGCTGGCAATTAAAATGACAGATTGGTCATAAATGACATTAAGCGTTGAAAACACTAATAGGAAAATATTTTTTACTATTTGGTATTTTAGTATTTTTTAGTAAGTAGTATTTTACTTTAAAGCAATACTATGAGACTTTTGAAAGCAAAAATGAGAGATAATCATAGATATGGGCGTAACAATGAACACTTTCAGACAGAGTGAGGAATGTGAAAATACAGAGACATTTCCTCAGCTCCAAGACAATAATCTATACTTTAGGTAGAGTAAATGTAATAACTATATCCTTTTTTAATCTGGAGCATCAGAAACCTTTCTCAGGTGCTTCTTAGGTTTTTCCACCATACTCCTAGCTGTTGCAGCCAACACAATCGCTACAGTTACCACCACCTTCAGCTCTGGCAAACCAATCATTGCTAGTTGATGTAAAACGCATCACTACTGGTATGCCAGCGTGGGAATGTCACCACAGACACCACAACTCCAGTACACTGCATAATACAGAGAGATTTACCTGGCAGTGATAGGCTTAATCAGCATTTTGTGAACTGGTTTGGCAAGGGCTTGAATGTAATGGCCAAAGATTTATATGTAAAAGTACCGCACTCTAGCTTTAAGTGGCCACTGTTCAGCAAAGTTACATAGGCTAGCTTTAAATTGACACTTGCGGTTTGGTCCTTGAAAGTAGGCCTACCACGGTTCAACACTAAAAGTTTGCTAATGCTGTCATTGTTAGCGATATGCCAGTCAGTATAGGTTGTGTGAGATAAAGGCCCACATAATGTTATATTACAGCTTGTGTTCATCGGCTGCTAAAGTAAGAGCCGCTCTATTAAAAGCATGTAGGTCTAAACATTTACTCTGAGATCACAAACTGATGGTTTGGTATTCACTCTTAACATCTGTTTCTGGTCTAATGTCGAGGCCTGAGTGGGAACCATTTATGTCTTGTTTGTCTTAAGCTTAAAGATCTCTATCCGCCCTACTCAAGAGAACAACTTTTAAGAGGGGGAAAAATGAATCTTTTACCAACATGTTTTTTATAGTTTTTTATTGTTATGTTATTGTTATGTTATATACAATTATATTGCTACACACTCACCAGACTTACCACATTATGTGTAACCATGCAAGTAAAGCCACATAAACAAAGCTACATGTCACAGTATTTGCTCCAGTCTGGCTGCCAGGTTTACTCTGCAATTCCACAGATACATGAGTTAGTAAGTGTGTGTGTGTGTGTGTGTGTGTGTGTGTGTGGTGCAATTACTTTTTTTAAACCTCATTGCATCACTTATTCCGTGGTGATTCTCCACCACCCCTAAACTATGCTTGACCACGTGGGTGGAATGGGATGAACTAGAGGGTCTCGTGCAGGGCTGATGGGGGGATTTCCTGCTCTTTGTACCCTGACACAACATGAAGACTGATCAGCAAAAAGTCCAGCTATAATGCATTTCATTTGAGCAAGAGTGATTGATTTTTGACATTGCAATGATTCAAATTTATCCAACTAAGTGACACTTCATGAATCTATAAATGTATGTATACTGTCAATAAATGTTTTGAAACAAACTTACATGTAGTATGCACATTTAAGTATGTCTTCTGTTTGTTTATGAATACATTTAGAAATTTTACTGAATTGCTTTCTGACACATACAAAGCACATAGCAGGATGATTTATCCTATTTAAGTGACATAGTTTACTGGGAGTGTGATATGCGTACAGACTTCATTGTGTAACGCCCTGTCATATATCTAATAGATATATCTAATAGAAGAAGCATCGAGCATTAAATATGATGCTTCACTGTCGAATCGAAGGTTAAAACTTGTTTGCGTGATTTTATTTTGTTGTGGCTTACATTTTTAGGATTAGTTAGACCTGAGTGCTGCATTTCTATGGAACGAATATCCTGCCATGTATCAAAACTGAAAATAAAGTTCTGAAAGGTTGAAACTAAGTGTTGGAAAACTCAAAATCTTACAAAAAAAAGTTTGAAGATTGCAGGCTTGGAAAAATAAAATCTCTGCAACATTTTTTTAAAGATGTTGCGCAAACCTAATTTGTCAGTGTTCTCCCAGTGTATGACTTTGTTTTCCAGGTTTGAAACCTTGTAAATGGTGATCTGAAAACTGGTGTGCAAATGTGTGAAAAAAGGTTTTGAAACTGAAAATTGAGGTTCCAAAACTTTATTACATACACACCAGCAGGGAGTAAGGAATAGTATAAATAACTCAGACTCGGTTGTCTGAGTTGGTGCAAATCTTTTCCTTAGCGTATTCTCTGTCTCTTCTCCCAATATGTCCACCATGTCCAAGAATCTACTTGCATGTGAAACTCTTTGTTTCACATGTGGATCTCATGGCTGAATCCAAGGTCAGTGGTGAGGGCAAGAACCCGATAGGGGGTGTGATCAATTTGCATGTTTTCTAAACATTTAGATTTAACATTTAACATTTAGATTTAACATTTAACATTGAGATATTCTTGTCACGAAATGCTTCCAGGTCCCTTCCAGCCTCATCAGGTCTTCTTGCACCAATATCCTTACAAAGTAATTCTACATATGACAGAATGAATTTATTTCATGCCTCATGAAGCATTATAAACATTTACTACATTTAATTTATGTGTGTGTGTATATATGTGTACAAACCTGGTACAAATGCTTAATGGTAGGTGTGACGGCCCCAGGACCTCTGCCAGGTTGTTTGTGTGTGTGTGTCTCTGTGCCTGTGTTTTGTTGCAGGGTGAACTTCCTGGTGGAGTGGAGCTGAGGCCATCAGGCACATCAGAGGCAGCTGGCCACTGTCTCCAGATTGCATAAATCCCAACCTTTCCTGATTGTTGCGGGGCTTGACTGATTGCTTTTTCCTGGCCCCCAGCACCACAGCGTCATGTTGTTACTTCTCTGTTTTGTTTAAGTTAACCTGGCACTATGTTTTGCCAGCCACATTTGTTAAGCTTTAAAATTATTTGTTATATTTGTTAAATTAAATTACTTTTGTTAATAAACATCCTTTCCTGGCAATCCCTTAAGCGTGGTTTCCTGTATTTGCTGTGGCCTCTGAGCCAGGCCATAACATAGGAGTTACAAACGTGTGAATAACCTAAAGGACGCATGTTTATGCATTAAATGTATAAACACACTAAAAATAATACAAAACTAATACATGGCTTATAAATGCTTTATATGAAGGGTCACACTTGTTTATAAATGTATGAAAAATGTTTTCCAGCAACATTAAAGTGTTTCTGTTCTGTGTGTACTGTACACCATTTAAAGCATTTGTTTTATGTTTTAGATAAGTTATGTTTGAAAAGTTTAACATCACTTTTCTCATCATATTTGAACATTTGTTCTGTAAGTACAAAGTGAATTCCTGGATTAGGATTCCCACAAAGAGGATGGGCAGACATCATCACTGACACACATTAAAGACCAATGGAAAACTAGCAGATGCTGTGTGACCTCTTGCTGTTGTCATATGAAAGGCTCATAACTCCAGTGTTGGTGATTTTTATATTCAAATGTAGTTTGGAAAGATTACATAAAAGACATTTTGACAAATGTTGAAAAGGGTTATGAAACATTTTCAACAATTTGACAATTTGATACTTTTGAAAATGCCTGAATGTTATAATAATTAACCAAACAATTCCAGATAATCTGATGTTTGGGGGGTAAATGCTTTTCAAAGTTTTATGATAGTGGTGATAGTGTGTGATACTTCACTTGTGTAGTGGAAAAACAGGGTATGATGGAGGAGGAAGCCTCTATCAGTAACTGACTGGGAGGACACCAGATTTCCTTTTGTCACTCTGTTTTTTTTGTCTGGTCACTTCCTGTGGAAAGGCCACATCTGACAAATTGTTGAAAATGTAGAAGAGGACCACTAAAGCTTGTTATTCATGATACTATGAGATAAAAATAGTACACTAACTGGTTTATAAGTACATTGTAATTAACGTGTACATGACTGTAGGGTGACTAAGCACTTAGAAATATTGCCCTGTATTGTGGGCACATGCTTCATGTGTTTTGTGATGTTTTTAGGGGCTGGGTTTGAAGGATGGTTGATGACAAATACCATGGGCAAACCCCTCTTCTCTGGTAATGCACTCTGTCCACACAACTAAGATGAATAACTGCAATGATGAGTGCATATCCAGTTTGTGACCATGTTTTCTTCTTCCAGGGGTTAATCAAAAGCAATGTTTTAGTCCAGCTAAAGCTCAAGTTTTTTCAAAATTATATACATGGATTTTTAAACTGTAACATCTGACAGATATGATTTACTAACATACAGTATGTAAGTTATTTAGAAGTAGACACAAGTAACCCTCTCTTTTGATCCCAAAAAGGCACACTGCAAGCCTCTGGGACGACAGCAGACCAGGATACAATGAAACAGTGGAACCACATTTTTTTTTATGGGGCTTTTCTCTGTACTGGTTCACGCCCCCTGGCAGGATAATGGCACGGTCCGTCACTGTTGCCATGACTGTGAATGCAATCATTAAGTTTCTCCTTTATGGAACAAAATCTGCTACTTTATCAAATGTGAACAGTGGTTCAACATGTTTTTCATTATACTATTCCCCCTTTTACATAATATAGCTTGCAATGCAATGTAGCACAAAAAATGACTTAGATTTATTAAGGTTGCATTAATAAAATCAGTCATTTCCATATATGGAAAGAATGGTTAACAAACCTTTACAGGTTTCTGCTCCACTGGTTCAAGGAGCCCATTCATTCAAGACCAAAAACATTTCGATCACTTTCCTGAGAATTTCCCCTCACGATTAATACAGTAGTTACTTTTACACGGTTCATTGATGGTAGATACTCTATTGGATTCTTTTCTCATGAAAGAAGGTTTTCCCTTATTTCCCCCCAGCGTACAAAAAGAGGCCCAGAATAATACACAATGATGAAAAGAAAGTCAGGAGGCAAAGAATGCAGCTGATTGTATCTTTATCAGTCGCCATTTCAGTCTGCAAACTGAATTCAACACATTGTATGCTCCTTGAACCACCTTTTTCACGAGTCTATCCCAGCAAAACAGCACATTAATAACACAAATGTATGGGCTTAAGGCTTCTCAAAAATCTGTAAATACTGCAATACTTAATAACACATGGAGGCAATGTTAAAGTGTTTATTCCAGTTTATTCCATACATAATAACAACAACAATAATAATATGGTGTTATTAATATTTACAATTCTTAAAAAAATGTGGCAGTAAAAAAAAAAAGTGCTTTTCATCATTGGATCTCGCCCCTATCGAGACACTGCTTAATTTTGTTGGCACGTCCTCCATGGGTCACAGGTGGTCTTTAAAAGATAGGCACGGTTGCATTTGCAGAGCTGGTGAAGAAAAAACTGTTTAGGTTGAGCTTCATTCACACCATTCATGCATTTTTGACTTCATATGTAATATCTATTTCACCTAAAAAAATAAAGTTGGATTTTTCCCTGAGAAATTGAATAACTAAACAATTTTTTAATATTTTTTTAAAGAGGCATTTTTGCGGTTTTACGGCAGTTGCTCTTGATAACAGTGAAAAGACAGGAATTGACAGGTACCTCGTCAGGTAGGCAATCTAAAGATTTTGGAACTGTAATTACTCCGGCTTCAGGTCTTCTCTGGTGTCATATGAGCTATAATGCCATCAATAAAGGAATCTGTGTCAGAATTGTTTAGCATTTTAATGTTAAAATTTTATTAGTTCACCAAATTATGTTTTATTGCATAGCATTCTGCAATGTTAGTGTTAGTCATTGAAACTTTGAGAGAATAATAATTTTTAAAGTAATTTTAAAGTAAGCTTTAACCTTGGCTTAATGCAATATATGAAGCTTGCATATAATTATAGTTAACAAATTATTCATGTGTAAGGAAGCTTCCCTGGCTGAAACTAAGCTATTTCATTTATCTGGATTACAAGTGAATTTCACAAGCAATGGCTGCATTAACATGAATATAAAGTTGCTATTTCGCAGTTAGCGCATTTGTCTCTGCACATTTATTTTGTCAAATTCAGCTCACATGAATGTCTTAACAAAAAAGTTGTCACATAAGTCTCAATATGCCAGCCTGTTTCTGCATGGTTTCCTGTTCAGTAACTTTATTGAACTTGATCAATAAAGACATCCTGATTCAATCCGGCCTGAAGGGAATTTTTTTTGCTTATGCTGGTTTCTATGTCACAGCCAGTTTTATAAAAAAATAATTTCCTGTCGACTTCCTTCATTTCTCAGCACAAGTCTGGAACACATACATCTAGATATCAGTAAATGGTTCAAAAACTATAAAACACTGAAGAATTGGGATCTGCTGCAGAATTAGCTAAGTAACTTTAAGTGCAGAAAGTGCAAAGAGAAAAAGCAAAAGAATGACACAAATCATAATCAAGTGAAGAGTCATGCATTAAAGAGTTAGAGTAAAACGTTGGACCTCACCCTTTTCTCTTCAGAAGAAACTTGTATAAAAAGATACCTATAGGTACAGCTGTAAAGAAAAGAGAACTATTGTATTCTGTATTTCAATTGCAACATTTTGTTTAATTGTGAAGGGGAAAAAAATGTACATTACCCAGCAGAACAGTCAACACCGTTACAGTCAAACCGACTGATGTATCTCCTGAAAGACATATGCAAAGTTAAATGCAGAGCATAAAAAATCACCCATGTTAACATATTAATAGGAGTGGGGCTCAATAACTTACCAATATACTTATTAGTATCTATAGCCAGGTTATCCTTGTCTGCAAGTATGAAACAGTATTATTAGTATGAAAACTATTTAAACGGCCATGGACAACAGCACTACCACAGGCTACATTAGAAACAGTATCAACACATAGAAGAAGGTATGTTACAAACTGATCATTTCACTTATTGATTTAAAGCCACTATCTGTTCAATCTTTTGTTGATTATAGTACCCTTCAAAATAATTTTGCACGTATGTGTTTGTAGGTAGAAAAAGTCGTATGTGTTGCTTTGAGCCGATGCAGCCAACGCAGAGCTGACGCAGATGGCCGCCCACCCAGAGCCTGGTTCTGCTAGAGGGTTCTGCCTGTTAAAAGGGACTTTTTCTTTTCCATTGTCACCAAGTGGAACTATATAACTAGTAGGGTCTAGACCTGATGTATACAAATACCCTAAGATCATAGGTGTCATTTACACTGGGGACTCTGGGGCCATGTCCCCACCACATTTTGAAATGGCTGATTTTGTCCCCATCACTTTTTGAAAGCATTTGTTAAAAATGTTCTGAAAAATAGCTCACACCAAGAAATGTTGACTAACAATTGAAAATGCTTTGAGAAAGATTTATTTCCACAATAAGAACACATGCAAAGCAATTTAAATATAGAGGAAACAAATGTGTCTAAAAAGTAACTGCCTAAAACAAACAAGTTGCTGATTACTGCATTATTATATGTTATACACTCACCTAAAGGATTATTAGGAACACCTGTTCAATTTCTCATTAATGAAATTATCTAATCAACCAATCACATGGCAGTTGCTTCAATGCATTTAGGGGTGTGGTCCTGGTCAAGACAATCTCCTGAACTCCAAACTGAATGTCAGAATGGGAAAGAAAGGTGATTTAAGCAATTTTGAGCGTGACATGGTTGTTGGTGCCAGACGGGCCGGTCTGAGTATTTCACAATCTGCTCAGTTACTGGGATTTTCACGCACAACCATTTCTAGGGTTTACAAAGAATGGTGTGAAAAGGGAAAAACATCCAGTATGCGGCAGTCCTGTGGGCGAAAATGCCTTGTTGATGCTAGAAGACAGAGGAGAATGGGCCGACTGATTCAAGCTGATAGAAGAGCAACTTTGACTGAAATAACCACTCGTTACAACCGAGGTATGCAGCAAAGCATTTGTGAAGCCACAACACGCACAGCCTTGAGGCGGATGGGCTACAACAGCAGAAGACCCCACCGGGTACCACTCATCTCCACTACAAATAGGAAAAAGAGGCTACAATTTGCAAGAGCTCACCAAAATTGGACGGTTGAAGACTGGAAAAATGTTGCCTGGTCTGATGACTCTCGATTTCTGTTGAGACATTCAGATGGTAGAGTCAGAATTTGGCGTAAACAGAATGAGAACATGGATCCATCATGCCTTGTTACCACTGTGCAGGCTGGTGGTGGTGGTGTAATGGTGTGGGGGATGTTTTCTTGGCACACTTTAGGCCCCTTAGTGCCAACTGGGCATCGTATAAATGCCACGGCCTACCTGAGCATTGTTTCTGACCATGTCCATCCCTTTATGGCCACCATGTACCCATCCTCTGATGGCTACTTCCAGCAGGATAATGCACCATGTCACAAAGCTCGAATCATTTCAAATTGGTTTCTTGAACATGACAATGAGTTCACTGTACTAAAATGGCCCCCACAGTCACCAGATCTCAACCCAATAGAGCATCTTTGGGATGTGGTGGAACGGGAGCTTCGTGGCCTGGATGTGCATCCCACAAATCTCCATCAACTGCAAGATGCTATCCTATCAATATGGGCCAACATTTCTAAAGAATGCTTTCAGCACCTTGTTGAATCAATGCCATGTAGAATTAAGGCAGTTCTGAAGGCAAAAGGGGGTCAAACACAGTATTATGGTGTTCCTAATAATCCTTTAGGTGAGTGTAGTTTTTTATTTATGAATGTTCTCCTCCCAGCTGAATTTTTTGTTTTCCTTTACATAAATAAAGACATTTCCACCATAAATTGGAGCAGAAAATGTCTCCAGAATGCAGGAAATTAAATGTTTAATGCTTCAATTTTCTGGGGGAGGACCTCTCATATATTTCAGCGTTTCCTTCTCGTCTCATTCTTGTGCATCATCATGTCTCGTGATCCAAGCGTATCATCCCACCCCTAATATGAGCACTTATGTCCCTACCACTTTTCAACACAAAGTGACGCCCTTGCCTGAGATAATTTCTGTTCTGCTATATAAATACAATTGAACTGAATGAAAATTAAATTCATCTCAATGCCTCAAAGTTGGATCAGTGAGGGGGAAGAAGATGAAAAACAAATACAGGTGAAACTCGAAAAATTAGCATATCGTGCAAAAGTTCATTTATTTCAGTAATTCAACTGAAAAGGTGAAAATATATTATATAGACTCATTACATGCAAAGTGAGATATTTCAAGCCTTTATTTGATATATTTTCGATGATTATTGCGTACAGCTTATGAAAATCCCGAATTCAAAATCTCAGAAAATTTGAATATTACACGAAATCAATAAAAAAAAGGATTTTAAATACAGAAATGTCAGCCCTCTGAGAAGTGTAATCACGCATATGTACTCAGTACTTGGTTTGGGCCCCTTTTACATGAATTGTAATTACTGCTTCAATGCAGCGTGGCATGGATGCTATCAGCCTGTGGCACAGCTGAGGTGTTATGGAAGACCAGGATGCTTCAATAGCGGCCTTCAGATCTTCTGCATTGTTCAGTTTCATGTCTTTCATCTTTCTCTTGGCAATGCCCCATAGATTCTCTATGGGGTTCAGGTCAGGCGAGTTTGCTGGCCAATCAAGCACAGTAATCCCATGGACATTGAACCAGGTTTTGGTACTTTTGGCAGTGTGGGCAGGTGTCAAGTCCAGCTGGAAAATGAAGTCAGCATCTCCATAAAGCTCGTCTGCTGAAGGAAACATAAAGTGCTCTAAAATGTCCTAGTAGACGGCTGCGCTGACTCTGGACTTAATAAAGCACTGTGGACCAACACCAGCAGATGACATGGCTCCCCAAACCAACACAGACTGTGGAAACTTCACACTGGACTTCAAGCATCTTGGATTGTGTGCCTCTCCATTCTTCCTCCAGACTCTGGGACCTTGGTTTCCAAATGAGATGCAAAATTTGCTCTCATCAGAAAAGAGGACTTTGGACCACTGAGAAACAGACCAGTTCTTTTTTTCCTTTAGCCCAGGTAAGACGCTTCTGACGTTGTTTGTTGTTCAGGAGCAGCTTGACAAGAGGAATACCACATTTGAAGCCCACGTCCAGGACCCGTCTGTGTGTGGAGGCTCTTGATGCAGTAACTCCAGCCTAAGTCCACTCCTTGTGAAGCTCCCCCACACATTTGAATGGCCTTTTCCTGACAATCCTCTCCAGGCTATGGTCATCCCTGCTGCTTGTGCACCTTTTTCCCTTCCACTGAACTTTCTATTAATGTGCCTTGATACAGCACTTTGAGAACATCCAACTTCTTTTGCAATTACCTTTTGAGACTTTCCCTCCTTGTGGACGGTGTCAAAGATGGTTTTCTGCACAACTGTCAGGTCAGCAGTCTTCCCCATGATTGTGAATTCCACTGAACCAGACTGAGAGACCAATTAAAGGCTCAGGAACCCTTTGCAGGTTTTTTGGATTAATTAGCTGATTAGAGTGTAACACTTTGAGCCTACAATACTGAACCTTTTCACAATATTCTAATTTTCTGAGATTTTGAATTTGGGGTTTTCATAAGCTGTAATAATCATCGAAATTATATCAAATAAAGGCTTTAAATATCTCACTTTGCATGTAATGAGTCTATATAATATATTAGTTTCACCTTTTAAGTTGAATTACTGAAATAAATGAACTTTTGCACGATATGCTAATTTTTTTAGTTTCACCTGTATATAAACTATGGAGGGAGACACATGTCTCAGAACATAACAGTTCTTTTACAGACAGAAAAAGAATTTAAACTTAGAGCCATAGATTACAATGTTAAAGGAATAGTTTGACATGTTAGGAAAATATGTTTTTTTACTTTCTTTTGCGATTTAAAAAATGAGAAGATCGATGACACTCTCATATGTGTCTGTTATGTATGTATGTAATATGAAGTTATAACCAGCAGCTGGTTAGCTTATCTTAGCATAAATACTGGAAATGGGGGGGGCACGGCTAGCCTGACAAAATCTGAAAAAATAAACAGAATAATCAGAATAATTTTTCCATTCTTTTTTGGACAGGATAAAAGTGACTTGTCAAGCTGAGGAGCCATTTCTGAGATGCATGCAGCATGCACATAATCCATTAATGCTACTAACCGATGTGCCTAAAAGGTTTTTAACTTAATTACATACTGATCAGCTTGTTGTACCTTGTACTGAAGGTGGGACAGTTGGTGCTGTTCCGGTTGTGGTACTTTTCTCTCCGTGAGCTGTGAGTGTGGATGCTTCTGTGACATATAAAGAAAAGTCTTAATAAACTGGATTCCTTCTAGTGACAGAGGTAGATTAACAATAGTTATTACAATAATAACTTTTACTCTTATCAATTATTATCTTTAAATTATTCAGTGTACAAATATTTTAATGATTTCTTGATTTCTGTTTGTAAAATATTTATATACCTTGTGCTGGAGTTGTAGAGGGTGTTACAATTTTTGTTGTTATTCTGTCTTCTGTTGTCATGGGCATCGTAGTGACAGGGAGAGGTGTCAAAAGGCCTAAAATAAAAAGTTTGTTTTTGTTTGAAACATTTATTTCAAAGCCATTAGTGGCGACAGTAGAGACAGAACTTTGTGTCCCACCAAAAAAGTGAAGGCCCCTTTCACCCCTTACAAAATGTGCAGAATGGTTTAGTCCACTGGCGGAGCACCAACGTGCACTGTTAGTCTTGTCTTTTGGGAAAAAATTGTGGTACCAAAGAAGAAAAGAAAGAAAAAATAGAAAACAAATTGATGGAAAACAGCTTTAGGCTAATTTCTTTCAAAAGACAAGGGAGAACAACTACTTTAAGAATGATTTGAGCTAATATCAGCTGTTGTTATAATTGAAGGCAGTCAGCCAGGGGTCTAATTTGAATTGGTGCTATATAAATAAAACTGAATTGAAGTGATATGTATAAAGTGATATTGTTGGATGGAGTTACCTTTGCATTCAGGAGGCGAAGAATCGTATTCACCAGTTTCGCTGCACATAATGCTATCTTTCCCAATCAGGGTGTATCCTTCATTACAGATGTACCGTATGATTTCTCCATATTTTGGAACATCTTGAGAATCCCATGAGCTTCTGCCATTGGTCACTTCACTCGGTTCATCACAAGTTACAACTGAGGAATCACACAAAGAGGTGTTTTCGCACATTCTTATCACAAAATACTTTAAAATAAAAGCAAATAATCCATATTGTTGTCTTATACTATAAATTGTGCTACTTGCTGACTGACAGAGAAAAAGGGCAAAAAAAGTCTGGGAACAGTGGAAGAAGAAGAACCTCACAAAGACTGAAAAAACAAAACTACATAAGCCATGTGTCAACCCACTTGTGCAAGAGGAGGGAAACAGAACTTGTCTTTTAAAATAGCTTTGTTGTAGGAATGTACCAAAAAACAATTGTTTTGTTGTTTGTGGCTGTGGGTTCAAAAAATGCAAAATAAGAGACATTTACTTTCACACTTAGCTTTTCCAGTCCACCCTCTGGCGTAGCAATGTTTGAAGCTTGATCCACTAATCTGGTAACTGTTGAAAGTAAAAAAAAATAAAGCAGGACTGTTTATTTAAGGCGGAAATACTGGAGAGCCATGATTTTGCAATGCAGTAGGGAGCTGATTTCCGTATTGAAACTCAATAATTACAGAGCTTAATCAAGAACTATGTATCAACAAGTCTCTCAATGTTGGCCATGTTTCTAATCAGTGAAACCATGATGTAACACTTTCTGGCCACAGCTCTGTTTGTCTATTCTTCGCTATGTTGTTTTCTTTAGAGACCTTTTCCATTAGCGAATCCATCTTGACTTCAGTCTTCAAGGTCTATTTGCCAGCAGCATTGTCTGATACTGTTTTTTATGTAAATGAACATTACTATATAGGGCTCCATGTCTGTTGTCATTGGAGCTGCTCCATATAGACGCTTGCTTCTCTAAATCCGAGACATATTTTTTCCAGATATGATTCAACAAGAAATTAGATGGGGGGATGATATCTTTTACATTTATACTCACCCTTTGTCACAAACTACTGTTATTACAGCACCAAACAGGGTACCATCGCTGGTATTGAAGCTCATATTCGGCTGAGGTTTAGGGAGACCACAGTCCTTCTCTGTAATATGAAAACAAACATGAGAACATTGCTGCTGGAATGTTATGCCTGGACATAAACCCCAAAATGGCGGAAAAAGTATGGTTGGTTGTCAAAAATAGAGGACTGTGTTTGATAAGTATCAATGGAGTTATAATGAAAGTAGACAGGACTCACTTTTGCAGGTGAGATCTAGTTCAGTCCAATTCCCATCAATGCAAGTTATAATCCCAGAGCCAGTGTCTGCAAGATATCCATTAACACACTCTAAAGTGACACTAATACCCTCTGGAAAATCATTAATTAGAAGCGTTTTGTCGGATAAGACCATATTTCCCCTTCCGTGAGGTCTAGGACAGTGAGCTGTGGAAAAAACAAAACAAAGAGGCAACATCAACAGCAACATCTTTTTGTTTCAAAATCAGACATGTGAAACAGCTCTAAAGCAAATATATACTGCTAATATCAGACTTACCATATAGTTAAGTCATGATATAATGCATGTGAGATGTTTAAGCTTTTGTCTGAAAAAACATCTTCTAATGAGGCACCCTTTATAAAGTTATATGTGTTTAGTTAGTAGTATTATTATTGGTTAAAAAATAATTTACTAATTATTTATGGGTATAAGCTCTCAATAAGCTTGGTTGTCAGGGAATTTCATTGATTTGAATGATGCAGATTTAAATGTCAAACCATTAATCAACCAAAAATAAATCCATCCATTCATCTATTATCTTGTCCAAATCTTAAATATTCAGAGGAGTAAACTTTATGATAGAAGATTTATCTTTTGTCTTGAAAGTCCATCTGACAAAGAATACTGTCATAGAATACTCCTACTGAGACGAAATTGTAGTGGGATTTAAAGTTCAATTTATAGTCTTATACGCTCCCACTTTATTAGGTAGGCCTACACCAGTAGCCTATAATATATATGTTTACAACTGAGGTCATAAGCTAAAGGCGGTGTTGTGCTGGACCACGTTATACTGCAAGGTGTCTTATACATGAGGTGGGGCAGAATATTGAAGACGCCTCCGAACATTATGCAGTCCAGTACAACACCATGACATCAAACTCAAATAGTGTCAACAAAAAAAATACATTATAGGCAACATAGTAAACTTCATTGCAGGAACTGTACACGTGTACCAGGTAGTCCGCTATTCAGACTCCTTAAATTAAAAAAGAAAATCACAAATATTTCATAGAAGCTGGCATTACAGTAAGAGACAGTTGTTGTTCTGTGGAGAGTGGAGAAGCCTGCCTTGCTGGAACTTTCCTCTGATTTCGTACGTTGATAAATATTATCTATTTAACCACACTGCCAGGCTGATGTTATATCCTACTGACCTGTTGCCTTCAATACAAAGAGGTATAGTAACAGCAGTCGCTGGACTCTTTGCTGTCCACAGGTGTTAAGTAAAACTTCCATGTCGTGCTGCACAAGGAGAGAAAAGATCCTGATCCAGAATCTCCTTCAGTCCAACTTCTTCAGAGAGGCCACGTAGAGAAGCGAGTCGCTCCTCTGCCGGTGAACAGTTGTCCTCTCGCAAAACGCCCAAATACTGCTCTCATCGTCTGCGATCAAGTTAAGAGCCAGAATGACAGGAAGTGAGATAGAAATGCCTTCATAATAAAAGCAGATACGTTCTCCTCCTAAAAAGCACGAGTTTATATTTTATCCCAATTAACAACACACTGCTCCCTAAAAGTACAATTTAGTCACAGATATTTAGCGTTTCAACACAACATCTTAGAATACAAAGTTTAGATCAATCATACTGTTGAAGTCTGTAGTAGAATTACTTGCATATTGCATCCCTGTAGCTATTTTTATGTTTCCATTGTTTTATTTCTTATATATCTTTTTATGTGTCCTCATGTTGTTTGTTTTGTTATTCGTGTGTGACTTGACTGCTGTAGCCTACTAGTACAATTTCCCACTGGGACGAATACGTCTATAAAATCTTCCTTCAAAAGCATGGGGTGTTGACAGGCAGGATAGGATGCTTCGTATTTAAAGGCGTTTATCTTGACATGTGAGCCAGCGTCGGATAGCAAAAAATCTCAGACATAGGTTTCAGGGTAAACAAAGACTATAAAAGTTAAAAGATGCTAGTTATGAGCAGTAAATAAACACAGACTTCTAGTCTGTCCACCAGTTAGAACAGCTCAGTCGTCTCACCTCCTGTGAGAAGTGGAGATGTCTCCCTGAGTGTTGCGATGGCAACACGCAAAAATATTATGGGTGTTCCTGGAAATAAGGGGTATTCCCTCCCTGGATCTTCAAATGGGGAAAGCCTTTATTATTCTATCGCTATTCTATCTATTTTATTTTGGTACAAACCACAAATTTGAGAGTCTAACCAAGAGAATATGATAAATCTCATAATAATTGCATTTCAATGCATGCCTTGGGAAATAACAACCACAATGATGATAATAATAATTCAATAGATATAAGTGAAATAAATTAGGGATTGTGAAACAGCAGTGAGGATTCAATTGTTTGTCATAGTAGTTTCACTTTCTAGGGTTTGTGTTATTGTCATGGATACATTCCACAGTTTTCTTCAACAAGGGGGCTGTGCCTCACTCACATACTGGGGTAAATTCCAAGGAGTTCACCACCCATTTTTAACCACAAGTCTGTTGACAGGGGCCGATTCCTTTCTCCACGCAGAGTTACCACAGAAACCCACCTAGAAACCTATCAACAAAAAGCGTTTAGTAACCCCTGTCTGTACTCTTTAGTGAGTGTTTTTCTAAACCAATGAAGAAACACCAGGGTAGTGGATACTACACATTGCATCACCATAAAGAAGAAGCTTGATTTTAATAGTTTAGGTGTGGTTTAGGTGTGCCCTAGCACACACCGAAACCGGATGTAAAGCCAGTAAAATGTGATTTGGAAAAATGTGGTGCACCACCTGAAAAATGTGCAGGTAATTAATGCTAGTTTGCCAAGGAACTTTTCATGTTCAAAGCCTCCAAACGCTGTGGCAGAGCCTGCTTTTCTTATCTCTCCAAACACTCTGTTCAAGTGAACGATTAAGGCACCTCCCTTCTCAGCTGCCAGAAGAATGTAACTGCATCTCTTCATGTCTAATAATGTTCTCAACTTAAACGTTAATATCTGTCCTGCATAGTTTACTTGCCTTTACCGTGCTCAGGCATACCAAGGATGTAATGTAAAGAGTAGCAGGAACATTTTACTCCACACACTATACATACTGTATATCTCTATTACAGAATCAATGTTACCATATAAAAGGTTTCATTTTGGAGGACTTTCTCCCCTGATATCTGCATTTCATATAAATAAAGGGCCAAAAGCTGTCAGAAATATTATTTTTCACAAGAAAAAGCTCACTGTCACCATAATGATCTCTGCAGAAAACAGCTTTTAATAAAAAACCTAACCCAAAAAACAATTACCCCTAACCCTACAATGATTAACTGAGACAAGATATTTTTTTCACATCTGAATTGATGCTTGCCGTCCACCATGTACACAACACTAAACTGCAAGTCAGTGACATCTAGTGGTGTAAACGATAAACTGCATTAAAATTGTAAAAACTGACTAAAGGTACTAATAGGATAATCATGATGAAACAAAAATCATATGGCATTGTTTTCTTCCAGTGTGAAACAAGACAGCAGTTTCCTCCTTATTTATAAAACCATAAAACCAATATCTATCACATGAGTTCTGCTCTCTGACATGACAGCAGAAACACACACACATTTCTTTTTACTTAAGAACTGACATTGTTCACAAGTACTGCAGGAGTTCGAAACATAGCAAAAATATGTTTTGTATGTGTGTGTTGGGTATGGTGAATTAACACCAGGTGAAAGGCACTGGTGATCAATGTCACAAACTTGAATAAGAGAAAAGATTTTTTTCTTCACATCTCTAACTTTTCATAAGCTATAGGTATCAGCAACTGCTTGTTACCGTCTTAGATTATTGTTGCACAGATGGGAACAAATCTGACCCATCATCTGATATTTCC